AGAGAAGGCCTTTGACAAAATTCAACATGCTTTTATGTTCAAAGTCCTAGAAGGGAATTGGACTGGAGGGAACATACTTCAACATAATTAAAGCCATATATGAAAAACCTGCAGCCAAAATCATTCTAAATGGAGAAAAAGTGGAAGCATTCCCATTGAAATCAGGAACCAGACAAGGCTTTCCACTATCCCCACTTCTCTTTAACATAGTGCTTGAAAGTCTTGCAAGAGCAGTAAGACAAGAGCAGGAAATAAAAGGAGTAATAATTGGAAAAGAAGAGATCAAATTATCCCTTTTTCCAGATGATATATTATATTTAAGAGACATCAAAAATTCCACCAGAAAACACCTAGAAATTATTAATAAGTTCAGTAAAGTGGCAGGTTACAAAATTAACCTACAAAAGTCTGTAGCCTTTCTGTATACCAATAACAAGCAATCAGAGAAAGAGCACATCGAAATACTCCCCTTCACAATAGCTGTAAAAAAATAAAATATCTTGGAATAAACCTGACCAAAGACATTAAAGACCTCTACAATGAAAATTTTAAATCTCTAAAGAAAGAAAATGAGGAAGACATGAGAAGATGGAAGGACCTCCCATGCTCATGGATTAGAAGAATTAATATTGTGAAAATGACCATCCTACCAAGAGTCATATATAGATTCAATGCAATTCCAGTCAAAATCCTCATGACATTTTTCACAGAATTGGAAAAAAAACATCCTAAGATTCATATGGAAGCACAAAAGACCTCAGATAGCCAAAACAACTGTGAGCACTAAGAACAATGCCTGGGGGATTACTATACCAGATTTTAAGCTGTATTGTAGAGCTATCGTCATAACAACAACATGGTACTGGCACAAAAATAGACCCATAGATCAATGGAGATATGGATAAAAATTGGAATACTTTAATGGAGTGGAGAGGGAAGGATATACAAGGAACTTAGAGGATAAAGGGTAAGAAGCAACTCAAGAGAGGTAGGACCATAGGAGTAGGGTATTATTAAGGGAGAAAGGGGGGAAATGGGGGCAC